TAAAAACGCAAAATCCCTTTTTTTATTTATTTATAACACATGTTTTTCAAATACAAGATAGGAAATACAATAACAAAAGACTCGAAAAACTTAACTAGACTATGAAAGACTCTAATTACTGTACAAAACTAGAAGGTAAAAGACGGGCATAAAAAGAAAAACAGACTCAAAACATAAAAATAAAAATAAAAAATCTCCTTAAGCAAACTCCTGAATGAGCGATCCTGACTGGATGGTCCGGGGTGTCTGCCATACTCAAACTCCGGTAAGTAGATCCACACCTGTATGAGAAAATTAAGACCACATAAAGACTTAAAACACTATGTGAGACAATAAAACTTCCTATCGGACACATGCAAGATATGATTGAGGCTATTTTTGCAAAATGGCTTATGTGGCCAAAAGGTGGCTAGAAGTGCAAGATTTGGCTAAGACCCCGCGAAGCTAAGAACCTAAGACTCACTAGGAAGACCGGACCTTATGTGGGCTGCCTACGTATCCCGCGCCGAAAGACGAGAATCAGGTATGCGTAGTTCGGGAGGATTGGATAGGGGCGAGAATTTAAAAAAAATAACTGATTTAGAAAAAACGTATTTTTTTTTTGAAAAATGATGAAACATGTAAACTCTTTTGGATTTTCTTTTTCCCTTCATTTTTGAATTTTTTTTTGAAAAATGATGGGAAAGTGCAAAATCTTTTTGGATTTTTCAATCAAACTTTTTTTGTCTCTTTTTTTTTTTGTCTTTTTCTTAAAAAAATGTGAAAGAAAAATATAAGTGGGTCCTACTTGCTTTATTTTCACACTTCACCGTCTTTTCTTTCTCATTTATCCTCAACCATCATTGGTACGCCAAATGACCTTTTTACCCTTGAAGAATGCAACATGTAGCACATAGGATGCATCAGGATGGTCTTTTATTTTTAGGTACACCTGTCCTAGACGGACCCAAGCCCTGTGTTGAGTCCGTAAGTCAAATGCACATGATGCAAACAAACGTGCCTACTAGGGATCCGGCATGAGGTTATGTTATTCTAGGTTTAAACTTGGGGTTGTGTTCTAGACTGGGCTTACCCGAGCGGACGGCTCGAGCCGAGGTGGGGGCAACGTACCCGGAGCACGAAAGTCTACCCGGCCTTGTTGCTGACCCAAGCCTTGTTCTAATTGGTATGACTTCTAACAGAAAGTGGGCCACGCGTACGTGTGCACCAAATTTTAGAAGACTCAGACGGGTGGCGCAAGAAGGCATTTTAATAATAAAATTCAAGCAATATTGAAATGGCAAATAAACAGCAATTAGCACATTAGGTTCACAAAATACAGTAATATTAACAATAAATAAAGCCAAGTAACATCAAATTAAAAAGCTCGAATTCTTGAACCCTCAACCAGAGATTCTGGGTTCTTGTCCCCAGCAGAGTTGCCAGAGCTGTCACACCTCCTTTTCCTACCCCGAAATGGATATAAGGGAGTTTTTCCAATTAAAGTGACAATCGAAACGGGATTATTTATTTATAAATCAGAGTCGCCACTTGGGATAATTTATGGTGTCCCAAGTCACCGGTTTAAAATCCGGAATCGAGGAGATTTGACTCTGTTATACAGTCCGCGAAACACAAAAATCCGGGTAAGGAATTCTATTAATCCGGGAGAAGGTGTTAGGCATTCCCGGTTCCGTGGTTTTAGCACAGTCGCTTTCATCATACTTGGCTTATTAAAATTGTCTAATTACTTTTTTTAAAAACTATGTGCATTTACCTTTTTAATTAAGAAATTATCTTAAAATACGTCACGCGTACGTGTACCCATTTGTTTGGCGCGTCAAAAATCATGTCACGCGAATGTGTCCACAATTAATAACGCTTGTTATTATTAAGAAGGTTTAGTGGAAGTTGCGCTAACGCATACTCCGATTTTGTTTTTAAAATCGTAATTATGTCATACGAACGTGTACATAAACACGATAATAAATTCAAAACGCGCCTAAAGGTTCGCCTACCCGTTGTGGTAGGCCTAAACATGCTCCTAATGGTCCGAGCAGGCAAAGTAAAATGATAATTTTAATTTTTCATTCTGGATGTCCAATCCCCACGTTCAAGACAACAAGAATGGAAATCAAATTATTTAATCATGTTAACTTAATTTTTAGTCGTCAAAATTTTGATTCTGAATTATGGAACATTCATCTTCAACGAAGCAATATGACAAGGATACAAAAGAATTCATTTCAACCATTGAAATCCACCCGAATACAAATTCACGAAGGAAACACCCAAACAAATATCATCAGAACAAAAAAAAAACGTACACAAACACTACTAAGGCATCAGAAACAACAATGAAATCTTAACTAAAAGATCAACACAACAGAAACATGGAACTAAGGCAAAATAGTAGAAGAAAGGGAGAAATAGACCTTGAATAAATCTGAAATATGTTTGTTTGACAGCTTGAAAATGCTAAGCGACGGAAAATCGGCAATAAAACCAACGAACTGAAATCCGACAAACTCAAATTCTATCACGACGAACCTCGAACCGGCCACCTCGAACCATGACCTCAGACGACACCATGGTTTTCAGAAAATCAAAATCGAGATAAAAAAATGAAGAACGGATATCTTTTTTTTTGTTTTAGTTTTCTGATTTTTCAAAGATTCTAAGACCCATGGACCTCTTTTTAATTTTTGTTTCGTTTTTTTTTTGTACGTGACTGCGTGTGTGCGTGTTCCGGCGAGCTGCTGTGAATGGGAAGAAGCAGAAGCGGATCGTTGTTGGAAGTAGCCGGAGATGGGTCTGTAGCTATTTCGGTTTGAAGGAGATGGAGATGAGGTGAAGAAGAGGAGTTCGCTGCTATAGGTGTCTTCTTCCTGAATGGAGATTGGATGTTGCTGCTCTGTATTTTAGAGTAGGGGTCGCTGGTTCTCTAGGGTTGTGAGATGGAGAAGACGAAGTCAGGGGGGTCCTTGTTGAAAAACGGCGGATTGCTTAGGTCTCTTAAGGTCTATGAAGAAGAAGACCTTTCGGGGGGGGGGGTTCGT